CCTTCTTTTCATTAGATTAGACATACCCAATTCCTGCAACCATTCTTCATATGTTTTAGCCTCCAGTCCCCTAATCCTCTTTGTTGCTCTTCTCTGCACTCTTTCCAGAGTCTCCACAACTTTTCTACATCATGGTGACCAAACCTGGATGCCGTATTCCAAGTGTGGCCTTACCAAGGCATTATAAAGTGGTATTAACCCTTCAGGTGATTTTGATTCTGTCCCGCTATTGATGCAGACTAGAACTGTGTTGGCTTTTTTGGCAGCTGCTGCACACGGCTGGCTCCTATTTGAATGGCTGTCCACTAGGACTCCAAGATCCCTCTCACAGTTACTTCTATTGAGCAAGCTACCACCTATAATGTACCTGTGCATTTGGTTTTCCTTGCCTAAATGTAGAACCTTCCTCTTTTCACCATTGAATTTCATTTTATTAGCTAGTGCCCAATGTTCAAGTTTGTCAAGATCCTTCTGTACCCGAACTCCACCCCGCGAGGGATTATGGGGGTCATTAAAAGATGATACAATTAATATTATGATACCTCCGTTCTGCACGCTCCTTCTTTTTCAAGACCACGTCCAGGTCCTGCAGCTGTTCCTCTAACTTCTCGCAGAGCAATTTCTGTGGGATCAAAGCAAAACAATGCGACGGCATTAGCATAATTCAAAAATATCTTTATGTAGTCAGTTTCTTAGTGGGCCCATTCCCAAACACTGTTCCACGTAACAGCTACTAATGGTAGTCCTCGATCTACAACCATTTGTTTAGTGACAGTTTGAAGTTACAGCGGCATTGAAAAAAGTTGACTTATGACCGTTTTTCACACTTACGACCATTGCAGCATCCCTCACGGTCACGTGATCAAAGTTCAGACGCTTGACAATTGACTCCTACTTACGACGGTCACAGTGTTCTAGGGTCACGTTACCCTTTTGCAACCTTCAAACATGTAATGTCAGTGGGGAAGCTGGAGTCACGTAACAACCGTGTGACGAATTTGAGAACCGCAGGGATTTGCTTAAAAATCGCAGCAAGAAAGGTCATAAAATGGGGCAAAAGCTAACTGAACAACTGCCTCACTTAGGGACAGAAAATCTGGGCTCCACTGTGACTGTAAGTCGAGGACTGCCTGTATTAAAAATTGCCAATAGTTTGAAGTGAGGCCAAATGGATATGCTGTGGCTCGCCAGGGGACAGCGGAGTTGGTGGCAGATTTGGACAGTGAGGAGGTTGGGGAGGAAGATGGGCTAGTCCTGGAGTCTGGGGAAGGCTCTGACGAGGGCTCTGCGTTGGAGGCAGAGAGTGGGGTAGGGCTGTCTGACAGTTATTAGCTGCCTTCAGAGTCGGACATCAGTGGGGCAGAAGAACAGCTGGAGCCTGTTCCCAGTGGGTGCATGCGCAGATCTGCTAGAGGCAACAGCTAAGGAACAAGGGTTGCCTCAGGAGAAAAGGCACAGGTGGACGGTGAATGGCCCCTCCCGTAGGGAATGAAGAGGAGCAAAAGGGGAGTGGAATTTGCAGGAGACAATCAGTTCCATTCATGAGGGTGAAGATCTGTTCCTGACTTCCTGCCAAGTAATTGCTGCTACAGCTTGGCATTTAGAAGATATCGGCCTGGCAGCTTTCCAAGCCTGATAAAGGTCTGTAGTTGTGAAATCGCGTGAAAGACTGTTTGCCGGGACTTTGCTGGAGAGGAATTCCCTTTAACCTAAATAAAAGGGGTTTTATCAGGATGAGGAGTCGGCTTCATGGTCTTGGGAGGCTTAGGTCAGAACAATTCTTATCCATTGCCTGTA